TTGCTCATTTCTGCTTTTCTTTTCGGCGCCTACGCTGAGTCTGCTTTTAGTTTTGATATATCCCAAATGGGACCTCCACAGAACAGGCATTATAGTGGTTCATAAAAACAGCTTGAAAGAATAAACAACTTGTATTTTTATCATTCTTAGATCAGAACTAGGAAAAAAAAATCTACTTTAGTTAACAAAGAGTATAGTCTGTCTGTCTGCATTAGAAATATGCTGCGTTTTGAGATTAATTGCAAATATGGCCTGAAATAAATAAGAGATGAAATAAAAACGTTTGTGGGGCATTCTTGTCCTGATCTAACATCTTTGGGGTCTGGAAGGAAATTCTGCTAAAGGACGGACAAATGTGAAGAGAAAATAGAAAGTTACAGTAAAATCTAGGACCAGATCCTCAATTGGCATAAATCAGTATTGCTTTGCTGACGTCAGTGAAGCTGTGCTAACTTACACCAGTTGAAGATCTGGCCACAACCTGGCCTGGGGACCAGTCATACTGGGCACTGGAGAGCAAAACACAATGAGCACTGCAGTCTTTGTGCACGATGGATGAAGCTCATGCCACAGCCTTTTCAAAACCCACCTGGATGATTTAGAAGAGGAGCTGCGGCACCTAGATTTAGGTGGATCCCGTAACTCAGTCATCATGTGAGGGGCCCAAAGGAAACACAGCCCCTCTTCAGGCCTGTCAGCTGGGGTATTAGCCATGCCGGCACTGTGTGGGCAGATGCAAAGGGACTGTGATTCACTGCTGTGGTGTTTGGGAGGGTGGCTCTATTACCTTCAATCTACATTTTGCTTCCATGTTGTAAGTTTCTTTGTGCTTGGTGGGGAGTTGGAATTGATCACACAAACCCTTAGGAGGCCTGGATCTGATCCAATCAACATTCACCTCAGTGGAGATGTTGTGTCAGATGGAGCAAGGGACGGAGGTGGGAGCAGTGTGGGTTTGTGGGGAACAGGATCTTCAGTCTGCAACTCAAGTGGTGCACAGTGTCTATTTTGCATGATACCACTGAACACTGGTTGGGATAGTGGTACAGGCAGCTGACTGAAAAGAATAAGATGCGGTCAGGTGCATATTTCCCTCCCACGCCCCTCTCCATGGTACTCAAATGTATCTCTCTCTTTTTTTCTTTTACTGGCTCAGGATCTGGTCCAGTGATGGGCAACCTAGGCTAGTGAGTGGGCCACACAAGTGGCTCTCCTTCATCTCGGTGGGCCGCAAGATTGTCATAACCAAGATGATCTCCCAGGATAGCAAGGCTTTTCCTTTTCAAATTCCCCCTCTAAAAGCTTTGTTAGCTTTGAGTTAAGAAACCTCAACATTATCCCTACTCCATTTCATGTCCCTTATTTTCCTAACACATTCAGTTTTAAAACACCCATACATATGAACAATTAATATTTGAACATGTAGGGTATAGGGTTACCAAGTGTCCAGTTTTGAACCGGACAATCCAGTATTTGAGCTTTCTGTTTGGGAAACAAATTGAGAAAATATGAATGTCTGGTATTTTCTAAATAAGATGTAATGTAGATTGTGATGAAATGTCACGTGCATCCCGTATTTTTGTTGAAACCATTTGGCAACCCTAGTAGGAGGCATGGTGAAGTACAGGGTTTTGCAGGCTCTGGGTGGGAGTCTGGGAGCTGGAGAGGGGTAGCATAGGGTGTGGAAGGGAGTTGGAGTGGGAGAGGGTGGGGGAAGTGCAGGCTCTGGGAGGGATGCAGGAGGCGGCAAGGGGCATCGTTCAGAAAAAGTTTTGTTATTTTGCCTCTTCATTCAAATTCCGGAGGAAACCAAAATATTGGGATTTCCAACAGGATGGAAAGTATGTTTTTTTTAATCATGTCTTGTGGGGCATAGGGATGTAAAATCCCGTTTAATTAGTTAACCAGTTAAACATTAAGTTTAACCAATTAACTGATTAATCAAGGATGGGCAGGCTTGAGCAGCCCCTGCCCGTAGTGCAGGGGCTGCTCCAGCCCAGGTGCTTCCGGCCCTGCAGGGACTGTCAACTCCCAACCCCTGTGAGCTGGAGCAGCCCAACACCCACAGCATCAGAGAATGGAAATAGCTGGCAGACCCAAGCAGTTCCATTGGCTCATCCCAGTGCAAATCTACAAGCGTGTACTGAATGAGGATAATAGCTGCATGTATGTTTAATTTTAAAATTTCAAAAATAGATTGCATTATACTCAATAATATAACAGAAAGAAAGAATAGCATGGTGAAAAGTCATAAGTATAGAGGGGTCCACAGTGGTTAGCTATAGGAATTCAAGAGACACAAAGAAAACAGGGCAAAATTTCAAAAGGAGCATTTAAAAAAAGGTTTGCTCTTCAACAATTAGTAAAGATTTTACAGAGAAAATTAAACTGTCATCCAAAGAGTTATTGAGCCAAATTTGGAGACTGAATTCAATTATTAAGAACAGCCATACTGGATCAGACCAACGGTCCATCCAGCCCAGTATACTGTCTGCCGACAGTGACCAGTGCCAGATGCCCCAGAGGGAGGGAACACAACAAGTAATCCTCATATGATTCCTCGCCTGTCACCCACCTCCAGAGAAACAGAAACTAGGGACACCATTCCTACCCATCCTGGCTAATAGATTCATGGAGATTAATTTCTCCATGCATCTATCTGTGCTTTTTTGAACCCTGTTAAAGTCCTATTATTAAAAACATAAGCACAGCAATGCTGGGTCAGATCAAAGGTCCATCTAGCCCATTATTCTGTCTGCTGACAGTGGCCAAGCCAGGTGCCTCAAAAGGAGGGAACACAACAGGTACCAGTAATCACCACCTGATCCCTCTCCTATCATCCATTTCTAGACAAACAGAGGCTAGGGACACCATTTCTACCCATCCTGGATAATAGCCATTGATAGTCTCCATGCATCTATCTGTGCTTTTTTGAACCCTGTTAAAGTCCTAGTCTTCATAACATCCTCTGGCAAGAAGTTCCACAGGTTGACTGTGTGCTGAATAAAGAAAAAATTAAACCATAGCAGTGCTTTACTTGGACACAGAGTGCTTTACTTGGACATGGCTCTCCCAGTCAATGTTGTGTGCAATTAACACGCACCTCACTTCATGTGTACTTGCTTTATGTGCATGTCACTTTTGTAATACCAGTAGGAAAAAGACTACATAGACAGAAATGAGCATAATGTGGCAATTAAGCGCATGGGCAACAGTAAACAAAACATCTCACGGGCCACACATAGAACCCCGATGGACTGCATGTGGCCCATGGGCTGCAGTTTGCCCACCACTGACCTGGCCTCCAAAAAATGGAGGGAGGGACCCCCAAATGACAGCTCCTGTAGGTCACAGAAAAATTGCATTTTTTTCCTGGGAGTTCAGTTTTGCTTCTCAAAATATAGTGTACATAGATCTCAGATTCTTTGAGCATCAACAAGGTCTTTGAGCTCCTTGTGTGCTGCCAAGGTTCCCTTGATTCTCCCCACCTTCTCTGCCCACCCATCCAGCGTGGGGAAGGTATGGGTATGGTAAGTCAGTGCAGGAAAGCAAGGGGGTTACATTACACCCGCTGCATAGATAGGCAGGGTGGGACCCAATGAGGCCTTATGGAAAAATGGGGATATATTGTCTAGTATTAAGGTGGGGAGAGCAGCAGACTGCAACTCGGGAGACCTGAGTTCTATTTCTGGCTCAGTCGCTGGCTTTCTTGATGAGCTTGGACAAATCACGTCACTCCTGTGTGCCTCAGTTTGTCCATCTGTAAAATGGGGATAATAATACTGCTGCACCTCCATTGGAAGTGGGCTCTGAGAGATGTTCAAACCTCGATGGTATTATCATAAGTGTTTAGAAAGTTAAATGAATTCCTTGGGAAACACAGTATTCTCTTGGTTACCTTACATAGGAGGGACCACGTAGAATGTCACTCTTGTTCCCTTAAGTGCAACATGTAGAAGGCATCTGAAGTGTGAGATGGTAGTCAGAAGTACACTGTTTTTATTGAATAGTGTTGGGGGGGGTTAAACTTATGCCCACTTAGCACTCTTATTCACGCATACCTTTCAAGATGTTCTGTCCATCATGTCGACTTTTCCACTGAAAAGTTAGGGCATTCTGTTTTGTGAAGTTCCCTTTTGCAGACTGTAGCTGGGAGCTAATTATTGAGTGACAAGAGGTACAAAATAAACAATAAACAGTGGTTTGTTGAAAAATGTGAACTACAGAAAAGTGCTTGGCAACACAAGAAATAGTGTAAACAACAATGGTTTGAATTGAGTCCCTCGACCAGAGGTGGGAAACAACAGCCTGGGGGGCAGATTTGGCCCCCAGCTTGCCTGGATCCAGCCCCTGAGACTAGGAGGTCCCCTCCAGTTTTGGGGAGCTGGCCCTCCTCCCAACTAGACTCCACACCCCCACTCCACTCCTGCACCTTGCCGCCTTCCTGCTCTAGCCTGCTCCTGCACCCTCCTTCCCACGCAGACCCCACACCCCAAATCTGCTTCCTGGCAGCCCCCTTACACACACTGAACTCCTCATTTTTGGCTCCACTCCAGAGCCGGGCCCCACTGCACTTTGGTGTGTGCGAGGAATGTGGGAAGCATGTTTCTGCTTCTCAGTCGGGGATTTTTGAGGGAGACTTTTTTGTTTTTGCTTTTCACTGCTGTGCACCCCCAACGGATTTTTCTGTAGGTCAGCAGCCCCCAACCCAAAAGAGGTTCTCCACCCCCACCCTAGACAACCGGTATATCAAACGGTTGGAGGGAATGCAGCGAGACAAAGGAAAAAAGGGGCTACATGGATACGGTCCCAATATTGCAATGAGGAATGCTAAGATGTGGTTCCTTCCACGCGGTTTGCCACGTGCAGGAGAGAGCCCGCACAGAGCTCATTGAGGACTGAGGTCTAACAGTAGCATTAATTGGCAACAAAAGCACAATTAGCAAAAGGGGCACTTTCAATGACTGGATAACAATGTGTGTTTCCACTTTTCGTTATAGGAGACAGAGCTGCTGGATCTCAGCTTCGTCAGAGATGCCAGATGCGGGAAACACGCCAGAGCTCCCAAGGTAGGGCTGCTGCTGTCTATATACCAGGTGTTGCCTTGATGCCTTAGAGAGGATGGGCTTGGAAAGTGTATGCAACAATTAGAGAATTTGTCCAGCACAATAAATATCATTTTGCTTTTTCCTTCCTTTACACGGCTCGTGAAATGATGTGTTCAGGTGATTGGACTGTGGAGCCCGCGTGGACGATTCCAATGAATGTTTTATTTGCAGTGAACAGAAAAAAAAATGGGAAATTCATGCATTATTTTTAAAGACACACTCAAAATGTTGGAAGATTTTCCCTTCCCTTTTGGCTGAGTGTTTAGTTTTAGTTCTCCCTTGCGTTTTGGACTGGATGTTTGCCTGATTGGGTGCCTATTGAGACCAATTAGTCTTTTTTCATTTGACTTCAGTGGTCATTGAGTCGGTCCCTATGGATCGAGTGAGGTTTTTTGTGTGTGTACCTTCTTGTGGCCTTCAAGGAATGTTGCCAACAGAAATATGTTTTGTGTACGATTGTGTTTGGGCCAATAATTCACATCTGAGTTGAAAAGCCCTAGTGCAGAATTCTGGAAACTGGACTGTGTCCTAGGGAAGTCCACAGAGGTTGTAGAAGGGAAGAAAATCTCTCCAGGGCTCTAGAAATGAAACGCTGCTGCTTCACAGCTGTTACCGAAGCCTCAGGGTTGTAGGAGCCTCTGTTGTTGCAATTCCTACCCTGACTTCAGGGGTAGGGTTACCAGGTGTCGGGTTTTCACCCGGACAGTCTGTTATTTCTGGCCCTTGTCCATTAAAAAAAACAGAAAACACCATGTAAAATGTCCGGTATTTTCTGTTTTTCTTGGACGGAAGGCCAACGGGGACATTATGCCCTTGAGGTATCTGGCATGGGCAGGAGGAAGCGAGGTGCGTGGGGATTCTTAAAGGTGCAGCGACCTTTTTTTTGTTATCCCCCCCCTTTCTTTTTTTTTCAACCAAGTTTTTTTCCTGTCATGTTCAGGATTTTTGGCGAAAGCATCTGGGCAAGCCCACTCAGAGGAGAAAGTATAGATGGATTTGCAATGGATCTTATCTTTCCACACTCCTTTCCGCCTCTTCTGTCCTCCATCCAGCTGTGTTCCGGGGGGCTTTTGCCTGAGTGGCACAGGTTTTTTCAAAATACCTTGTAGCAGCATGAATGGCCAAGTTCTGTGTACCTGAGCCTGTCTGACAATGATCTGCAAATGTATTTAAATCTGGTTTGCAAAGCTTTCCGCATGGGGCCGGCAGCATTTGAAAGGCCGAATTGTTACTGAAATGCTACCAACGTTTTGTATGACGTCCACAGGAATATCAGATTCGTTCACTGTGATTAATGGTTCTAAGATGAATAGTGATCAAAAAATTAATGAGGGCTGGAGCATTATTTTTAAACTGCTACCTGCCTTCCTGTGGCATTCAAATTATCCTAGCAAAAGTGGTTTTAGCTAGGGTGTGTGTGCAGCCATTGACTTAGGTTTTGATTTATTAGGTTACGTAAAGGCTCTTTTTGTTATCGCGTGTTACCAGCTCAAGTGCAGTGGCATTAATTGAAGGGTACCAGAAAACGAGGACTTCCCTCCTGGTGTCATGCCTCCACCTGTGTGAATCAGCCCGCCTTTCATTGCTGATTGTGTGGGGGCAGAATAGAAGCAGCACCCGCATTGACAGTTTGACAGGGGCATGTTTACCAGGTGCAGCAAAATGCTCATTTTGTGGTCAGTTGTGCCTATTATGCAGAGGTTCATGTTGTGAGCAGTGTGGGCAGAGAGGTGTAATCCACAGGCTATTTTATGTGACAGGGACACTGTGCTAGAGCCACAGTAGCAGCTCCTGCTTTGAGCTCTGCACATCACTGGTTCAACCCCAAAAGCCATATGTAGAATACACAGCTGCATGGGGCACCTGGAAATTCGGGGCACCATTGGGTCTTAATGTCCATCCCCTCCCCCATCTCTCCCCATTTGTATTGTTATAGAATCATAGAATCATAGAGCTGGAAGAGACCTTGGGAGGTTGTTGAGTCCAGCCCCCTGCGCAAAGCCGGACCAACCCCAACTCAATCATCCCAGCCAGGGCTTTGTCAAGCTGGGACTTAAAAACCTCTAGGGATGGAGATTCCACCACCTCCCTAGGGAACCCATTCCAGTGCTTCCCTACCCTCCTCGGGAAATAGTTTTTCCTAATATTCAACCTAAACCTCCCCCACCGCAACTGGAGACCATTGCTCCTTGTTCTGTGGCTTTGCTTCATCCGAAGAGGATCTAGTTAACTTAAAAGAGGTAAAAACCTGCCAGGGCTATTAGCTGAACATCTGAGTGGTAATGAAGCCATTTGCCAACCCCAGGTATATACGGTCAGTTTCTGAATTTACTGCATTAGTCCACAGGACCGTTGATGAAAATTAGTTTTAAAAAATCATGAGTGTGTTGCTGAAGCACATCTCTAAAAAATTGTCATCCCCACCCGGGGATGCTGTTGGGCATTGAGGTACCAGTTTAATAAGAAAGGTTGGACCTCTTTACGTTGGCACCCTCGGGACCTGACTGTGCCAAACCAGAGAATATGCCCAATCACGGAATGTCAATGTTGTCTGGCAGCATTACCAACGCTTCCACTGCTTACCGGGCTCTTAGAGGACATGTAGGGGTAAATTGGAGCTAAAGAACAGCACAGAACACTGAGAGCCAGGACTGGTGGCTGTCAACAAACTTTCTGGGATTGTGGGAAACTTGGCCACACCCGTGCTAAGTGGACATCTGGCTCAATAAAATCACTCCGGACCATGGATGCTGCTGGACCAGAGAGTGCCGAACTAAAGAGGTTCAACCTGTACTGCCTAGGGCCCCAGAAATCCTGAGGACCGCTCTGACCCAGACGGTATGTTGACTCCCAGAGCTACCAGATGAACAAAAGCACTTCTCCACTGCTACCCTCATTACCAGGTCCCTGCCCTTGTATCCACTACTTCCTTACCATTAAACACTAGTGGGAATAATCCTTGCATTCAGATGTGGGCAAAGACTTGGATTTTGGCCAGCCTCTGCAGGGAACCGATTCAGAGGAGGAAGCTCCTTGCACTTAGCACTCATCGGGTGTGTCTACACTACCACCCTAGTTCGAACTAGGGTGGTAGTGTAGACATACCCATCTATGGGCCATTCATAATCTGCTCTTCCTACATCATTCCTGAATGTATAGTATGCACATATCATGGCCTCGATTCTCAGCTTCTGCAAAATGATGTCGATCCATTGCAGGTGACATAGACCAGCTGAGGATCTGGCTGTATACATAATGCTATGGGCACTCTCTGTACCATGGGTCTATATGATCTGCGTCCTGGCTGTCCTAGTAACCAGGCTATCTAAGGTCATGGCACAAAGCTCAACTCATTGTATCAAAAAAAGGATTTGGAGGGAAGATCCATTAAATGGGTGGAAATAACTTTTCCTTCCTGCGCATTCCTCGCATTTATGGTGATTGTTGGTATAGAATTTGGGGACTCTGTTTCCTGCCGGTTTGAGTAAGCTAATTTAATTTTGGGTTCATAATTATAAGTGGTTGTAGATTGGGCCTCTGTCTTTATAAGGGCAGGATCCAAAACCCATTTAAGTTGGTGGGAGTCATTACAAGACCTTCAAAGGTCTTTGGGCTGAAAGGCAGACAGAAATAAAATGATCATCTGTATCGCGCACCAGCTTTTTGGATGCCTAATTTTATTTATTTATTTATTTATTTATTTATTTATTTGTGTATTTAAAGAATAATACCAAAGATGCTGATACAAGGCATTAGGTACCCTAGCACATCATTAGTATTGCAATAAAGTTCCAGCAGCATTAAAACAATCACTGGAAAAGCCACCTACATCTCAAACCATTCCTCTCTACCCATTCCTTATTCCAGGACACTCTTCCTCCACCCTCTTCTGAACCCCTATGAAATAAAAGGAGGGGTGAGTGTTTTGGGGTAGCTTTAATTATTGTGCCACTGAGTTCCATATCTTTTTTGTGCCTAGAAACTCACAGGATTATTTTCCTCCTTTATTGTATAAAGTCCATCTTTGGCAGTTCGGGCTGATGTTTTTCATTATGGGCACCCAAACTGCTCATTCGCAGGCCTATTTCAAACTTGTCAGTGCATATTATTTTCAATATTTGTCTTCCACCGGACAAGAGAGTCATCTTTTGTGAATAGTTGTGTGTGTGTTGTAATCTCTAGGGTGCCTTCTTACTTAATATAAAAAGGAATATTCTTTTCCTTTGGTCATTTTTAGCCAGAGGGGGGAAATACTCAACTGCTTTTATCTCATTGTTAGTTTTCTGCCAACCTATCTCACTCTGTCTCAAATTATCATCATAAGTTTTGCTCTAATAACAGTCCTTAAAGCTAAGCTAGGGATTTATGTGCTATGAAAAGCTGGTAGTGTGGGAGCAGCCTGAACTCTGGAGAAGGGAAATATTATGAAGAAGGACATTTTAATACCTCCCAAGGCCATGCCTTTTGCACCTCTTGGGAAGGTGTAATATGTAAGCACTCTTATATGTTCCAGTAATTGCGATAAAAAGGACATTTTTCCTGTACGTGGTCCCCCCGAGAGATGCCATTTCCATCCAGGTACCAATATGACCCTCATCACCATAATATCTAAGCCTCTTTTTGTCTGGTTATGCATGTCCTGAGCATTGCATCTCTCCTAATGGAGACCTGCTTGCATACTGATGCCGATAGCAATTGAAAGATTGTGAATTCTACAACAGAGAACATGCCCAAGATGAAATAAGCTGCTGGGGGGAATCCATTTCACGAGTAAAGGGAGTGGATTATGGGGGTCTCACTGGCATAATCGAGTCATGTACCTTCTGGGCCCTTCGCCTGGAGACAAGCTGACTGCATGTCTTGCCTCATGAAGAAAGGATCACAGCTTGCTTGGCCGGAAAGCGCTGGTGAAGAATACATTATTAGACAAGAGAAAATCATGTTAATTAAGTCTAGGCTGT